TGTTCAGCCGCATGAAGTTGAGCAATAACAGGTCTGTGATGCCCTTAGATGTCCAGGGCTACACGCGCGCTACACTGGAGGAATCAACGTGCTATGTCCATTGTCGAAAGGCATTGGTAACCCGTTGAAAATCCTCCGTGCTCGGGATAGGGAATTGCAATTATTTCCCTTGAACGAGGAATCCCTAGTAAGTGTGAGTCATCAGCTCACGCTGATTACGTCCCTGCCCTTTGTACACACCGCCCGTCGCTGCCCGGGACTGAGCCGTTTCGAGAAAAGCGGAGACTGCTGTATTGAAGCCGAATATTTGCGGTGGAAATACTCTGGTGGAAATCGCCTTAATCGCAGTGGCTTGAACCGGGCAAAAGTCGTAACAAGGTTTCCGTAGGTGAACCTGCGGAAGGATCATTAACGTATTTGGAAAGCATATTAAAATACGCGATATGATAACGATAGTTGTATCGAAATTGGTTTGAAGATTTTTCGATAAAGACGAGAACGACGAATCTATATATCGCGACAATTATGTATAAACGTAATTTTATAAAAAATAATGCGTTTGATCAAAAGAATGATGCATGGGTCGTCTTCGCGTCGTCATCATCGTGTTGATGTTGTGATGCATAAAGGAAAAAGCATGCCCTACGCGCACATGCATACATATACACATATCACGTCCCCGATTGATTCTGTCGGCGGTCATATGCTTATCGTATAAAATATGAAATAAACTGATCACGTATAAAACCTTTTGGGAATTGCATACCGTTATTTTATTACTGACAAGTAATTTTTTTGACTTTTCTATTCCAATAAAGTCATCGCTAACGAAATATGAAAATAGCTTAGAAAATAAAAAATTAAATTGCCAAAATTTCAAAGGTTCTTGAAAATTTTTGCTGATTGAAGTGAAAGGCCTATAATATTTTGCTATATACATATATGTATATATATATTTTAACAACACTGTACATACATAGTGCACAACTCGCCATTCAAAATGCCCTATTTTAAGAGTAAAAAGGTTTATCGTAGATTAAATTAGATCAAAGCGAGGCAAGAAGAGATAACTTGGAATTAATCTCTGATAATTTTTTTTTCACTTATAAAAAACAATATAAATAAAGAATAATAATAATTATTATTATAATAATGATAATTACAGCCAAAAAATTGTCATAATTTACGAAATATGAAGTATTTTAAATTAAACTGCGCACAGTTTTATTACTGACAAGTAATTTTTTTGACTTAATTTTATAAATGCCAAAAATAATTTAATAATTAAATAATTTTAATTCTTATAAAAATAAATTAAGGAACGCAGAAAGAAAGAATAAAACTTGAGAAAAATAAAACATGTATTTCTCTATTTATGTAAAAATTGCCTTAAAAATTTTTATCGATTCCAATTTTGCATATTCCTTAAAACAAAAAAGCGACCGCGCTTTATTCTTTTTTTTATAATTGCAAATATCAAATTTTTTTTTTTGAAATATTTCTATTAATATTAATAAATAATTATGATATTTTCTCTACATCAAATTCATAAACATAGGAAAAAAGACTCAAATTTTCTTAAGTTTTGTGGTGTTATAATATTGTTGCTGTCCTAAGAAATCATCCTTGCAATTGCAATTATGTACAAGCAATTGGAATCTTTTCAAGAATATTCATTTCTGATAATATTTTAAGAATATCAGTTAGAGAAATACCAAGGGTTGAAAGAGGAACTAAAAAAGATGTGGAAAATGAGGGCCAAAGTAATTTTAATAACAATGGAAATGCGAACCCTTAAAATAGAAATATGGTTTCAGCAGATTTCAGGAACAATATCAGAGATCACTATCCAGACTCCAGGGCTTCTGGTAAAAGGTCTGAGATTGAAGATAGTAGTTACAACATTGCGGGATTAAGAAAGGGATTATATTTAAAATAAATGTCATATTAGAGCAGAGTAAAATCAAATGGAAATTGCCACAGGAAAGCAAAAATAAAATTGAGAAAATGGAATGTCAATGTTGGATACATTTGGAGCAAAGTTATTCACTGGTTGAGATGACTCTACTATTTTTTGTCGGATCGGAAAATCCGATGTGGATAAATCATAAAAAAAAGTGCTGTCAGTGCTCCAACTTTCGAGGTTCATTCCTCTAAAGTAAGGAATCGAACAAATGATGCTTGAATAGACCAACTATTCCAATCGATCACGCAACAATGGCGTTAGATAAGCCTGAAACGTTGTAAGTCGAAGATCGGTCCCAGTAAATTTTTTAATCTTCTAAATTATCTTCTAATTGGTCTATATGGAAACTATTTATAGCCTATTAGGCTGGGTGAAACCTCTCTTGAGGAAAAAATGTCATAGTCAGTTATTGGAGTCAGCTGAACCAGAAATGGTGAAAGCTACCGGAAAAAGAGCTCATTATACCACCTATTATACCCATCCAACGTCCCATTGTTCTTTATGATTTTATAATGACAAGTAGATAGCTCAAATAGCATCTTAAGATATGAGGATGATTGTTGTTGCTACTGAAGTAAAATTGACACAGAAAAGAGGCTATTAACAGATCATTGATCACGATTTTGATCTTAATAGGAAGATTTTTTGCAAAATATAAATGGCTATCACATAAGATTTTACTTCTCCCAAAACTTCTGATGGACCGAGATGAGCGATTGGTAAGCGCACACCATACGGTCAAAAATAAATATATGAATATTTTACAAAAATAATTCTCTCTTGTCCTTAAAATGTGGAAAAAGATTTTAGAGTTGGACTGAAAATAAATAATAGGGTCACAATTGCTGATGGATCCATAGATTTTTCTTAAAACCTGGCAAAACATTTCTATCGAATCACTGAAATTGAACGATAATTGCGTTCATTTCAATTTTATTTCTTTTTTCAATGCCATTTGACATTGGCATTAGGTTATTTCGCCAGAGAGCCATTGGAGAAAAGACTCGTCATGGCTCTATAGTACCACTCATATTCGTTCTTATTGGCATATCCTTCTTTTAATGGACAAGGTTTCTATGATCTGAACATAGTCGAAATAACTAATCTTTCCATGTTCTAGAGGAATTCAAATTGGCTATTCGTAAATTATTTCATCAAATTTTTAGATTGTTTATACTTCAGGTCTCAACCAGACGCATAGCAGAAGGCAAATAATTATATCCTTCTTTCTCAAGAACTCTTATCAGGAGGTTGATAAAAGTAAAGAGATTGGCGGCGATTCAAATCATTCTTTCATTCATATTTTATATCAACAGATCGCATATATTAACGTAATATTGAAATAAAATGCCAAAAAATATGCAACAAAAATTTTTCTTTAACATTTATCTGATACTTATCAAATAGCACAAGTAAAAAATTATTAAAAATACTTTGTATAATCAATAAAAGAAAAATTTGAAAGATATGAAGAAATGAAATTGAAATTTGAGCGAAATGAAGAAACTGAAAAATTATGAAAAAATTGCAATCACTAAAAATTAACTTAATTTAATTTAATATTTAAATAAATCGAAAAATTTGTAGGATTCTATTAATTGAATCGGCTTTTTTAGCTTACAAATAATATTTTCATTCTTTATTTTTATCCATTCAAATTGATAAATGATAAAGAATGATAAAGAAATGATAAGTATCAGACGCAGGCTTATTTAATCGTAATTCATTCGTAATAAAGGATGTGTACGTATCAATATACACAATTGTTCCTCATTTTTTGTATATCCTTTTTTGCAGATACAAATCGGTTTACAACCGTCGGTTTTAACAAAGTTGTAAATTATCTTAATAAAAGGAAGATGACAAAATGCCGAAATTTCGTCATATTCCATATTTTTGCCACATTCATTATTCGACGAAGTTCCATTGGCGAAATTCTTATTCGAAGACTCATATGACGACATTGCTGAATCGTTTGTCGATATTGCTTGAACGCATGAATTATTATTTTCATTGAAAATATCCATCTCGACAAACGCAACGATATTCGCATGCAATTAGTTTACACTGCGTTGAATTCGTGCACGATTGGCAAATTGCATGCGTCCGATGAATCGCATGTTCTCTACAGGATTCTTCTCCTCTATAACAGTTCAAACCTTGAAAATTTACCTGAAATTTTTTTCTCAGCTAAATATCATTTTAGAAATGTAAAAACTTTTCAGCGAGCATTTTGACATATTTTTTTGGGCATTTTGGCATATTGAATTAAAACTTCCCTGTCAGCACTTTTGTTCTAAAATTCAATTTTTTTGACGTATATAGGATGTCGTAAAATGCTTGGGGATGGTACTTTAAGTTCCATCATTTAACCACTGCACATAATGATTCACCCAGAAAAAAATGGACGTCACTTGCATTTAATTGTCATTCTATTTTCATCTTCCATATTTCATTTAATTTTGCGGTTATTTATTTAAAAGGATAATAAAAAGAACGAACCAGAAAAAGTATGATTTGTAATATTACCGCTAAATTTAAGTGATACATACGTGAATAATACCAATAGTAGTTGAAAGTGAAAATAATGGCCAAATGAGAAAATAATATCCATCTGATAGTTTATAATAGTAATGTAGTGGAGGCGGATTGAATTTTTTTGATTCGAATAGAATTATCATAGTCATGAAAATCCTTATCAAAATGACGAATTTTATCAATGCAATATTATCACATTCCATTCTGATTTTCGAAATATCTTCTCGTTATTATCGAAAAATGAAAATCCGTATGCTTCATAAAAATGTAATTTTAAAATTAAGAAAAATTCTTGTGGGTAAAAAAAAAAATCGTGATAATGATAACAATGAAATTCCTGTTTTAGATATATGAATATATCTGACTAATTTTCCGAAAGTGTGCATCATTTGGCAAATTGGCTATTAGAGGAAAACTTTTTTATGATCACTGGCGAGACTATCGCTAGCAAATTGGCAAATATCGAGTTAACTTTAAATGAAAGGTTTACTTCGTTCAATGGACAAGAACTCAATTCGTACTTGCATTTACTTCACTCGATCGATTCATTGTTTTATTCGTAATAAAATGGTATTAAGGCAAATTGAACTGATAAAATTGATATTTTCTATTTTTATCGTTTATTTTTTAGTCATTTTTTTTCACTTGTAAAGATATTTTAAAATTTTAAAATTTTAGCAATTCTAAAATTTTATCCAATCAATTTTTAAATTTGAAAAAAAAAAACGAATTCATATTTATTCATATTTATTTATTCATTCATATTTATTTTATTCGCTAAATCCATTTTATTTCTCGATAGAAAAAATTTTTTAATGAAATTTCCATTTTTTATATTCAAATTTAGTTGAAAATTATCGATAAAATTTTCATCGAAGTAATTCTTTTACACTTATTAATTCGAATAGAATATATACATTCGATAAACGAAATTTTTTTTTAAATTTATATATTATAATAATTATTTTATTTCATTTAAAATTGTTCATAAAAATGAATTTATAAAATTCTGCAGAGAAATCCATTTTGAAACAACGAATTATGTCGAAAATCTTCGTTTTCCGAATGTATTTTATCCTAAATGCTTTTCATTTCGTTGCATTTAAAGTTGATAACAAACTGATAACAAACTGATTAACCTAAAATCTTCATCTTAATCTTTTTCTTCTCTCTTAAATCTTCATCTCAACCACTAAAAGTTAACCTCCTCCCTCTTTTGCATTTTTCATCTTTCCTTTTTCATATGCCACTGTTACTGTTGGCATATAATATTGTCGAGAAGCAATTATATGAGAATAGACAACGAGAATAAGGCAGTAAAAAGTTTTTTCTCTTCATCAACCAATACTTTCAAATTAATATTTTTTGATTTATTTCGAAATCGTGTAATTAAAAATATCTATTTTTAATAAACTTTGGCAATTTCATGGTTTTCGCTTATCATTTTATTCGTAAAAAATCCGCAAAAGAATTAACAATAAATAACAATAAACAATAATACTGTTGGCATATAATATTGTCGAGAAATCTACATGCAATGAGCAAACTTTATCACCGATTATCACTGATAAGCATGCTGCCGAGTGAGAAAAATTTAGCGTCCACATTTTCCTTAGACATACTAGTGCTGTCGATGAATGAAAAGTCGAAGATGGTTCTATAAAAAGCATATGTATCCCACAGACATTCCTATAAAGATACAAGAAAATGATTAACAAATTTAAATAATCTGTCCACACGGAAAATGATGAACATAAACGCAACACATGAATTTTAGCAATTTTAGCAATATTTAATATCTGAAATAAGTGAACAGCAGGGCGCGACCCATTTTGTTTATCACGAAATCGACTAATAAAAACGTGTTGTGAAGGCATGAGAATTTGTCAATTCCGAGAAGCGAGGCAAGTACCATTAATCTTGGCAAATTGCATACTTTTTTTCTCTCAAAATAAGTAAATAACCATCTTCAGCATCGGCACCTTGGTTAAATGCGCGGTGGCTGTTCTCTCCTGAATAGAGATCTCTGATATTCTTCATAGAATTTGTTAAAGCCACCTTTATAGTATACCTTAATCTGGTGAGCTTAATGTTCGCCTATCCATTCTTAGTCGGTAAATAAGAGCTAAAGGAATGATATCGGGCATAATGATTTTTTACTTTCGGGAATTAATAAAATCCGCTGGCTTATGGGATCATAAAAAATCTTATCTGGGAATAATTTGGAAATTTTTAAAGAAAATTACGCATGCATAGCTTAATTCTTTCAATCAAATGGTTCCATGGAATCACTTTCGTAATCCTAAAATACCTACAAAATAAGCCTAAAAAGTAGAATTTTGAATGGAAATTCATGATTTAACATGGCTATTTTTAATGTTATCCTTCTAATTTATCTATTCTATTATTAATGAACACGAGAACTTTAACGCTGTTCACTAATGCTTTTCATTCTTAACCGAACGATTGATTAAGAATGATCCAATAATCAGGGAAAATGCTATTTGCACACAATGATACAATAATCCTTCATTTCCAAGAATTATTGCATTTCAGTGTGCTTTCGTTTTCTCTCTCAGGAACGTATAAAAATAGGTTAACTTAAATTTGTAGAAGCCAATAATATCTCTAAAAAAATTCGCGAATTTTCATTTATTAAATATTAATTGTTAATTATCGCAATTTATATATATATATTAATTATATATTTATATGTATAATATATATTTATGTATGTATAATATATATTTATATTTATATTTTATATATTTATATTAATTATATATTTATATTTATATATATTTATATATATTAATAATTAATTTTATTACAAAAATATGAATGTAATATAAATATATTAATAATATAAATATTTTTTTTAAGAGCCTTGACCAATTACTCACTACACTGACTTGTCACATTAAGCAATATGCCATAAAGTCTCTTGGCGATAGAAACACAGGTTAGTCACCAGCAGCATCCAAATTTCCGCACTGGTTTAATTCTGCGGGGAATCGAACCTCACCATCGGTGCTCGCAACCGAGCAACAACTCACTGAGCCATTCCATCTCCATATAACATTAATTACATAATTACTTCAATTTAATTCGAATGTCCCCTATTCAATCTTTCAAGTCATTAATGAAGAATGACTATCGTCTAATTAATAGGGAAATGCTATCAGCACATGAACATGCAACAATTCATCATGAATTGTTGCAAGAGAATGTGCTTTTTTCATATATTCGGCAATAATTAAACAATAATATAAATTATAGTTTTTTCTATTCCCATAATTAAATAGAAGACGAACGACAATTTGTTCGCCTAACGGACTGTTCTCAGACAAACGTTTGAAATAAGCGTTTCATCGTTATCAGCAAATTTACCAGAAAATTTTCATTATTTCGCAAAAATTACTTTTGTTATAAAAATAGCCATCAATATCGTAAAGTTACGTTAAACACCGCAAATTATGCAATAAACAATAATATAAAAATATCATAAATTTTTATACCATAAATCCCATATTCAAGAAAAAAATTCCAAGAATGTAGAAACCTCAATTCCCAAAATCTCCCACACCTCCCACAATTCCCCACAATGAGAGATTGCATTTTATTTGTATTTACGTACAATTTATATAGCAATGATTTTGCCTTAAAGCAATTTCTTCGTGCAAACCGATGAAATCATTTCTGTCAAATATTTCAATCTATCTGCACTATCGAATTTAAAATTGCTAAAATTAGCCGAATTTTATGCCTTAAGGGTAGAATTAAGAGAAATTAATTCTTTAGTTGGTGCTGATAGCATAATAAATTATACAATATTAAACAAAAAAATTAAAGCATTGAATTATTTTCTTCTTTTTTTTTCTGGAAATCAGATAAATGAAAGACGATTACAAATTTTTTATCGAAATTATGAAAATTTCCAAATATTTCAATAAAATTTCAATTATTTAATGGTTAAATAAAACATTGGTTTGTATTCAGAAACATTTTAACAAAAATTTCAACGTTGTGAAGAAAAATTCAATGCAAATTTTTGCAGAAACATATTTTTTTATCAAAAAAATACAAATTTAAAAAATTTATAATAAACAAATCAAAAAATATTTTATATAACTTATTTTAAAAATTTAAAAATATAATTTATATTTTAATTTAGCTTAAAAATAAATTTAATTTATAAAAAGAGAAATAAAAAATCGAAAAAACAGTTTTTGCAAAATTTTTGTATCTAAAAAAATTACTAATTATTACGAATTAATTTAAATTTATTTTTCAATTAAATCCTGAAAATTGTAAAAATCATTCTTTTTTTCACATTTTAGTCTACAAATAATATTTCTATTCTTTATTGTTATTTTATAAAGTCGATAAGCATTCCGCTCATCACACGGCTTGTTTATTAGCGTACAGTAGGATACGGATGCCTCCAATTTACACGAATTTTCACTGCTTTTTTTATATCCTTTTTTGTAGATACAATTTACTTTACAACCATCGGTGTTAAAAAAATTATAAATTAACTTAATAAAAGGAATATGACAAAATGATGAAATTTCGTTGCGTTCCATATTTTTACCGCATTTAGTGCTATCCAGTGAAATCGCAGCGATGAAAGGCTCAGATGATGATATTGCTGAATCGGTTGTCGAAATTGCTCGAGCGCATGAATTATTATTTTTATTGAGAATATATCCATCTCGACAAACACAACGATATTCGCATGCAATTTGTTTACATTGCGTTGAATTCATGCAGGATTGACAAGTTTCATTCATCTGATGAATCGCATTTGCTCCACAGGATCCTCGTGTTTGAGGTTCGTCACAACTAACACTTTGAATTTTCACCTGAAATTTTTTCCCAATTGAAAATTTCTTTATGGCTCTGAACAACTTGGCAATCAGAAAATAATGAATAAATAATAAAATAAGTTGATATATAAAAATAAAAATTCAAATAGTTTTAGGACTACACGATGAATGTGGTACAAACTTTTCACAGTAAAGCTTTTGCGTATATATTTTTTTAACTATAACTACATCGTAAATATTCCACAGATGAACCGCTGAACAGAAGCATGTGCTGTCACACTACAAGCAAGAAACTGTATGTGCTGTTCATTTTAGAAAAAATCACTTCATCGACTTCAACTTCCACGTTTATTAATTTCTAATTATCATTTTCGTGATTATCATCGTCAAAAAGATAATAATTTGATAACTTAAAAAACGAACCAGAAAAAGTAGAATCTGCGACACTATTGCTAAATTTGGGTAATACATAGTTGAACAGTAGTGATTGTGGTAGAAAGCGTTTGTAATGCCAACGGAGAAAATGACAATATGATAGTTTATAATAATAATAATAATAATAATATAGTGGAGGCGGATTGAATTTTTTGATTCAAATGGAATTATCATAATCATGAAAATCCTTATCAAATGATAAATTTTATCAATGCGATTTTATCACTTTCGCTTGATTTTAAAAAAAAATTTCTTCGTTATTGAAAAATGAAAAATCGTTTATTTCGCAAAAAATAATATAATTTAAAATAACAAATTTAAAGCAAAAATTTTTTTATAATGATAATTTCTTTTTCATATTCGTGAACTGTGATAAATTTTCTAAAATTGCGCATCATTTGGCAGATTGGCTATTAGAATTAAACATTTTGTATGATCATTGGAGAGACCAGCATAGACTATCGCTAGCAAATTGGCAAATCTCGACATCGCTTTTAAGAAAAAGTTTACTCCGTTCAATGGATCAGAATTGAATTCATATTTACATTCGCTCGATTGAACTGTTCATTGTATTTGTGATAAGCTGATATTAGGAAAAATTGATAAAATTGACAATGAATTTTGCTTTTCATACTTTTATCATTCCTTACATGCTTATATCTCATTTGTGAAAATAAAACAGTTTAAAATTGTAAACTTTTAAACCTCTCAATTTAAATTTTTGTGAATTTTTAAAATTTTTTCTATTTCCACTTTATTTGTAGAATTTTTTTTTTGTTCATCATGTCCAAAATCGAAAAAATAATAATTTGCTGATGATTTATTTCATTCTTTTATTTTTTGATCGAAAAGATTTTGCCAAAAAATTTCATTTTTTTAAACAAATTTAGTCGAGATTTATTTATAAAAACTCTATCAAAATAATTATTTATAGAGGAGGAAATTTGCCCTAAAGCAGTTTCACCGTACAAGTGGATGATATCATTTTTGCATTGCTATCGAATATTGCAATCGACGTCTGACATAGAATAAAAATTTTATAGAAATTAACTGAGATTTATGCTTCGAGAATTATAACGAACAATAAAGAACAAATAATTTAGCTAAAGCCAATAGCCAAAAAAAAATTTTAAACTCTCTTTCGTAGAGAAAAAATTTCTTTTTAATTTTTATTGGCCTTTTATTCTATTTTTATTTATTTATTTAAGTTAGATTATTTATTAAATTAAATTTATTAAATTAGACTAAATTATTATTTAAATTTAATTCTTTTTATAATTATTTAATTTTTTTTTTATTCGAAATCGTTTGAATAATCGCTGATTGAATAATTTTATTAATAAATGGTTTTCTCGTTTGGCTCATTTTACTTGTGGTGCTAAAAAAATTCTTATTAAGTTATAAATTGTTAAAATAGAACATAAACTGATTACTTAAATATTCCTCTATTCATTTGCTTCATGCGATAATCCTAAGTTCCACAGTCTAAAGATGAGGTTATATTTATAAGATGCGGTTATAGAGAGATAATAATAGCATAGCTTTTTTGTTTTATAGATTAGGCAAATATCTGCATTATGATTTCAAAATCCCTAATATGCCCATTTTTACTTCCCACCTGCATAATAGACTTATGACAGCACGATACATACCAATGGAATGTGATGGTATAGAGATGATCACAAGATCATTAAGAAACTATCTGCTATTGGGTATTCATGTTTAAAATGCATTTTACTTGTTCGCCAAATGAATAAAGTCATAACATGTGGATCCATTGCATCTATTTTCGCACAAATAACTGCATTAATAGTACCATCATAGAGCGTCACCTTTGTTCTTTATCTCTTACCACATGAGTCAATATTTTATGAGTTAGTATGAGCTTATTTTATTATTTATTAAACCCTTTAACAGATCTCGTCCGAAGCAGGATGGGCCAACCAAAACCTAGAATGATAACAAGTCAAGGAAATTTTTGAATATATAGGTGGATCAGTGGTATATGGACTAAGACGATAGGAAAAAAGATGCCGACGATGGCGTCGGGCCGAATAGCTTATTGCATGGAATATCTTACACTTTTATCCAGCGTAGCCTAACCAACAATGGTGAGGGGTGTTAAAAGAAAAAGACGAATATTTCAGTAATACCTTTTCGAAACACTTCTGCACACATGGCAAATTCATAAAATTTTCTTCTCATTTCACTATTTTTCAATTTTATTTGTATAAATTGAAAAAGATAATAAAAATTTTTTGTGCAATTAAAAATATATAAAAAATTGAAAAATTATGCAAAAATTATAAAATTTTTTCACCAAAAAAGATTCAGACGATTCACTATGGATTAGTTTGAATTTCTAATATCTAAAAAAATTTAACAATTTAAACGATTCGATTATTTGATTAATTCCTTTTTCGTATATTTTAATGTACAAAAAACATCATTTTTCACTGTTATTTTTTCAAGTATAAGTAAATTTCATTGATTTAAATGGAATTATCATATTCATGAAAATCCTTATCAAAATGAGATTATGAGATGGAAATGAGAAGGATAAGTTATATCCTTCTTTCCCAAGGACTATTATCAGGAGGTTGATAAAAGTAAAGAGATTGGCTGCGATTCAAATCATTCTTTCATTCATATTCTATATCAACAGATCGATTTTGCATATATTTACGTAATATTGAAATGCCAAAATGCCAAAAAATATGCAGCAAAAATTTTTCTTTAACATTTATCTGATACTTATCAAATAGCACAAGTAAAAAATTATTAAAAATACTTTGTATAATCAATAAAAAGAAAAATTTGAAAGAAATGAAGAAATGAAATTGAAATTTGAGCGAAATGAATAAACTGAAAAATTATGAAAAAATTGCAATCAGTAAAAATTAACTTAATTTAATATAAATAAATCGAAAAATTTGTAGGATTCGATTAATTGAATCGGCTTTTTTAGCTTACAAATGATATTTTCATTCTTTATTGTTATCCATTCAATTTGATAAATAATTTGATAAAGAATGATAAAGAAATGATAAGTATCAGACGCAAAACACGTGGCTTATTTAATCGTAATTCATTCGTAGTAAAGGATGTGTGTGTATCAAAATACACAATTGTTCCTCATTTTTTATATATCCTTTCTTGCAAATACAAATCGGTTTACAACCGTCGGTTTTAACAAAGTTGTAAATTATCTTAATAAAAGGAAGATGACAAAATGTCGAAATTTCGTCATATTCCATATTTTTGCCACATTCATTATTCGACGAAGTTCCATTGGCGAAATTCTTATTCGAAGGCTCAAATGCTGAATCGCTTGCCGAAATTGCTTGAACGCATGAATTATTATTTTCATTAAAAATATATCCATCTCGACAAACGCAACGAAATTGGCATGGAATTATTTCGCATTGAGTTAGGTTTGCAAACGCGACAAGTTGTTCGTGCCAAATAAATCGCATTTTCTCCACAGGATCCTCGAGTTTGAGGTTCGTTACAATTAATAACTTGAACCTGAAATTTTTTTTCCAACTGAACACTGTTTCATGGATCTAAATAGCTGATAATTAGAAGAAATTAATGATTAATAAGTAAAATTGAAATAACTTTAGGTTGGGACAATAAAGTGGATAAAACTTTTTTCAGCCAAGCTTTTGTGTATTTTTTGAACTATAATTATGGCGCAAATTTTCCACAAATGGTATTTCACTATTGTTCAGTCGCTGGACAGAAGCATAAAACTTTACACGACTATATAAACGTAAGGAATTGCATATGCCTGCTCATTTTAGTGAAAAATCATTTTATTAAAAATCATTCATCACTGGAAAAAGATTTTTTTTATTTTATTTATTTTTGCGGTTGTTTGTTAAAAATGATGGACAATCAAAAGAACGTACCAGAAAAACTATGATTTGTAATATTATTATCATTAAATTTAAGTGATACATACGTGAATAATACCAATAGTAGTTGAAAGTGAAAATAATGGCCAAATGAGAAAATAATATCCATCTGATAGTTTATAATAGTAATATAGTGGAGGCGGATAGAATTTTTTTGATTTAAATAGAGTTATTATAATCCTTATCAATCCTTATCATAATGACGAATTTTATCAATCAAAAATGCATAGGTTTTATCATTCACTGCTCCAATTTTAAATTTGAAAAAAAAATTTCTTCATTATTGGAACGTGAAAAAAAAGTATATTTCATAAAAATAGAATTTGAAATTCTAAGGAAAATTTGTTCTAATAATTTTTCAAAAATGCGCATCGTTTATTGGCTACATAGATGAAATATTTTATATGGAAGTTTCGCTAGAAAGCATAAATCACTTCTAAATAGCCAAATTCTGGCTTTTTTTATCTCACTCAATGGATAAGAATGGAATTTTACTCCACGGAATCATTTGGTTTATTTATATGCTATGAAAAAGTATAAAAAATTATATACTATAAAAAATTGGTACTATAAAAAATTGATAATAGGTTTTTATTTTCGATCATTTTATCCTTCATTTCTTAATTATTAATTATTTTATTTAATTCTTAATTATTATACATAATTATTTTATTTAATTATTTTATTATTTTATTTCGATTAAAATTCTTTATGAAAATCATAAAAGCGATATACATTGAAAATAACCGTCGAGAAAAATATGAATTTATTTTAAAAATATTAGTACGAAGAAGCATAAAAAATGGGGACGAATAAAAATAGCTAAAAAAAAGCCAATCTGCCAGATTTCAAGATTTTTCCAAAAAAACATAGGATCGGCAATATTTTATAATAATATTTTTTTTACGAATTATTAGGACGGCCTTATGCATTTATGGAAAAAAATGCCCTAAAAACCGATAAATTACAGAATTAAATAAGAGAAATTTAATTGATTTAATATTTACTTTGTATTGAAGTTATTGTATTGAAAAAAAATTTGGTACCATAATTCAATTTGTAAGATTTATAAAGGATGCGATTAGATTTGCTTTTTCTTCCTTCATTTATATTATATAAAATAAGATAAAATCTTTCCAATCAATCGCTTAAATTTTTTACGAAAAAAAAGGTTTATAAGAGAAATTTACATTATATTAAAATTATAATAATTAATAATTATGATAAAAAAAGGATGAAAAATAGAGAAAAAATAACTGAGATTTTAGGATTTTACAAAAATAAATGAATTATATAAGTATAATTTAAAAAAAAGTAAAATAAATAGTGATGAAGAAAAAGAGTTGAACTCACTTAAACTGAACACATTCAAATTATTGTTCAAGATAAATATGAAGAAACAAATTATTTGCGATAATTAATCTATATGAATGAATGAAAAAAATATTTAGCATTTTTTGCACAAATTAAGTCAAAAAAATTTCAGTACCATAATTCAAAACAATTAAAATGGTAACAATATGCCAAGGATAGAAAGGTTCAGTGGGTTGTCGCTCAATCAGGAGCGTCGATGCTGAGGTTCGATTTCTCGCAGGAGTAAACCTGTATAAAAATCCGGGTAATGCTGGCGACTTAACCTGTATTTCCATTGCCAAGGGACTTTTTGGCATATTGCCTAATGCGACAAGCCAGTGGAGCGAGTTTAAGCAGTAATAGTGAGGACTCTTCAAAAAAAAAAAAAATATGCGAGATCTGAGGAAGGTCGAAATAATCGCCATCAATTTTTTGAATTTGATTTAATTTTTCTTGATAAACAAATTATTAGCCTATTAATGATTAGACCATTTCCGCCCTTCATTTTACCGTTCTATATGGAAAAATTTCTCTGTTCGTGGTCTGAAGTAGATTAAGTGTTAGTAATTTTCACAGTTTGATGAGTTTTCAATGAATTTGATCATTGCTTTCGACGAATAACAATTGATGATAAAGATAAGATAAATTTTTTTTGTAATTTTCGTTAGTTATAATATTTATTTTATTTAAAATCTTGAAAATTTGAGAAATTTTAACGAAAATTACGAAAAAGTATTAATTGCTCATATATTATTGCAAATAAATATGCTTTTATCAAGAACATTTAAAAATAATTTAAAAAATAATAAAAAGTTCAGAAATAGAATTTAGAGAAGTACCATCGATTAAAATAGAGACCACAGGCGCGAAAATTAAAGTAGTCACAATTAATTGCAGCATTAAGAGTTGCTGCTCCCCAAACTAGAAGAGTGAGTGGTTTGTAGGATACTTTCTACAAACTATTGCATGGATTCAAATTTTTTCATTTCACAAAAAAAATTTTCTTATAATTTTCATTATGATAGATAAAAGGCACTAAAAATATCTAATTCACACTATAAAAAAATAAAAAAAATCTAAACATTATTCAATAAAAGAAGTTTAACAAAACTTCGTGAAAGGGTACCTTTACAAATATTCTGATAATCGCCTTTACTCGCAACATTGCCCACATTCATAAAATTGAAATGTAGGCTCCGTACTTATAGAGCAGAAAATTTGCATTTGCCCTTAAGGAGTTTCATCGTACAAGCGAAATATCTTACTTTTCTATTAAATATTTCAATCGATTTGTGGTATAGAAATTTAATTAATAAAAAAAAATTTATTTATTTATTTAATTTATTTATTTAACTGCGATTTAATACCTCGAAAAAAGAATAATGAAGATTAAAATTAGATTTAAAATAGATTTTAATTTCTTTTTTTTTTATGAAATTTTCTTTTTGCAAATTTTTTGTTTTATTTAAATTTAATTTTTAATTGTTTTCGTAACTTTTCAATTTTTTTTATTCCAAATCACTTGCTTATTAAAAAGGTTTTATTCATTAATAAACAGTGTTTTTCCCATTTTCCTTTGAAATTTTATGCTAAATTTGTTTTGGAAAACGATGAAAATTCTTAAAAATCGTTTGTTCTATAGGCTTTTGTTACTTTTAAATTATAAACTCAATTTTAATTATTGCCGAACAAGTGCAGTATGAATCGTTAGAATTGCAAGGAAAAATGCAACAATATTATTTATTGATATCTGCGATATTTTTTTTTGATGAATTTTTACCATTACTGGTTAAACTTACTCTTCTGGCTTGTGGACTGGACAAGTTCCTAGGCTATAGAAATACAGGTGAGTTGCCAGCATCACCCAGATTTTTGGATAGGTTTTCTCCTGCGGGAAATAGAACCTTAGCACTTAGCAACAACCCACTAAGCCATCCAATCTGCGATATTTTTTAGACAAAGAATAACCTCATTATCATAACCAAGGAACTGTCATAATTTAGGAAAAATGGTTAATTCTGATTGAAAAATTTTGTTAATTAAATTGCAATATAACTGTGAAATAGATCTGTTTCATTTATCGAATTTCACTTAGAATTATCCAATATGCAAACATATAATAAGAGCTTCTCATAAAAATTCCCGAGAAAGGTAAAATTTTACGATAGTTTATAACTGCTAGCATTTTTCAATGATAACATACTTGTCTTCACTTTTTTTTTAATGGAACTTAACAAAACTAAAAATATTTTATTTGTTAAAAACCAGCCAAGCAAGGCACAAACGCCATATGCTATTGTATTAATAACAACAGTTAAAATAATAAGAATTGATAAAAAAAAAAAAGAAAATATAACAAAAAATTAATAATTCAAAGAGGAAATAAAGGGAAAATTATAAAATAATATAATATAGTACAATTCCACGTAACCATAATCGGATGGTAAAAATCGAGATTTTACTCTTCCTGCATGATATAAATTTTTAAAATAATATCATAAATGATATTATCTAATCTTTTTTTAAAGATAACCAGAGATAACGCACAAGCTATATCTATATCGTTCGGTAATTTATTCCAGTAATTAATATTACGAATAAAGGAGTTATGAGTCCTTAGTTTAGTTTTACACATAGATTTTAGTAATTTTAATTAGTTCTTGTTGATATTTTCATTTTTTCATTTAACTACCTTATTTCAATTCGCATGAAAACCATTCTTTTAACGCATTTTAAGTATAAAATTCAGTATAAAATTCTTTATTTCTCTGAGCCTTAATCGAATATTATTATTTATTTGTTTCACTAATATCTCGCAGAATATTGCTTATTTTGCTTAAAATAATTTGAAGAAACAATTTATAGAAATATTAGAATTTATTTAATTTCATAGTTTGCGATAGAGTGGTTTTAATATTTCAATTTTGAAATTAAACTTACATCAATTTTCGAATCGCAAAAATTGTAGAGAAAATGCGACATTATTTATTGATAAATGTATATGTTATTTATTATTGATAAATGCCAATTTATAAAGAATACCAATTATAACCAAGAAATTATCATGATAGTCATAATCAGGGAATTATAATTTCATAATTTATTCATAATTTACTCAAAATAGGTATTAAATTTTGATGATTTAATTGTAATATTACGATGTAATTGGAAAATTCGATTAAAATCTGATAAAAGAACTGATT